TAAACGAGAAAGATTTGTTTTTGTGCATTTATTACCCGACCTGACCCTAATGGGACCCACCCGAATGACAACTCTGCCACCCAGCTTCTGGCGAAGCTGCTCCCCGGCCTCCGCTGGGGCTACTCGGAGCTCAAGGACCTTTGAGCTTCATGTCCCAGCCGAGGGCCGGGTGACCATCGTGGACTCTGTGTCGCGCGGCCAACTCAACAGCGTCCTGCGCCAGGCAGCCCAGTCCGCTAATCGTGCCAACCTTCAGAGGAAGCCCGACCAAGGAAAGGTATTCCGAGTGGGGGCAGCTAGTCCCAACTCTAACCATTTCCTTACCCATGGCAGAAACACCAGATTTGCTGACTGGCGCTTCATCCATCATGGTGCGCGGCTCGGAGTCCTGCCCCTGTATGTGCGGCTGCCGCCGCTGGAAGACCGCCGCCCCCGCCTCAAGCCTCTGCCGGCGCTGCGGGCAGCACGCGGAGACGACGGCCCACGTCCTCTGCTCTGCCACTGCCCGCCGGCCCTTGCGGGGGGCACCACGCACCGCCACAACGCGATTCAGGAGCACCCACTACAGTCCTTGACCAGCCGGGGACGCCTTCAAGGAGTCGACTTTAAGGTAGACATAGACAACCAAGTGCCTTTCTGTGATCTAATGCCACCCGACCTTGCAGCTGCTGTCCCCGACTCCCTGCGCCGCCTCCGCCCGGACGCCCTGCTGACCAACCACCACGGCAACCAAGTCGTCATCTTGAACGTCACCTGTCCGTTCGAGAACGGGTGGGGCGCCCTCCACCAGGCGCGGGCCAAGGTCTCCAAGTATGGTCCCATCGCCGAGCACCTTGAGAGAGCCAGCTGAGATGTCGCCCTGGACGCCTTCGTCGTTGGGTCCCTCGGGGCATGGGACCCGGCTAAGGGCCCCATGCTCAAGTACCTGGGGCTGTCGCGGGCCGACATCCGCTACCTAGCCGATTGCTCGGTCCAAGGAGATCTATTTGCGCTACGCCATCCCCTCCAGCACCCCCTCCCGCGCCGCCTAGTAGGGAAAAAGTACCTGAATTGGGAAAAACACTGAACGGGGGCCGGGGGCGGATCGTGATCTCCTCCCCGTGATATTTACTTTGTAAAATGCAATTACTAACTTTTAATGCCCTGCTATTGTTTTCTGAGCCTCCTGGCTTTTTACCTATCTGCGCTGCTGCGCTTTTTGCCTACCTTAAAGTCAAAATTTTTCTTTTGTGAATGCTCTGCACTTTTATGTGGTGAGCGGTGCTCGAACTGTTAACTCAGCAGAAGCGCCATTAACTGTGTAATTTCAGTATAACTTAGCCGTACATGTAATTTTTATTGCAATCAGGCCGGGGCACTTCGCCCCTTTGCTTTTATTCTGCTCACGCCCAAACTGTTGGGGCTTTCCTGTCTGGTCCTTCTGGCCCAACATGTTTTTTTTTCTCTTTTCGGTGGGCTACTAACTTATTTCCATGCATTTTATTCCCTTTTATACCCCTTTTTACGCCCTCCTGCGATTATCTCTCATTTTTTTGCAAATTGCTATTATTTTTATTCACCTATTTACTTGGGCAATTACCTGCACTCTTTAATGCGCTCTACATTGCATTTCCTGTATGCCAAACAAAACGATATCAACTTGTCTGTAAAAATTTATTTTGAAATAAACCAGCAATTTCTGGGCTACAAAATCAATCAAGATAGTTTGGTGGACAGTCATGACAAGGTGCGGCCAATACTGGAGTTCCCTCGTCCCATCCCAAACAACCAGGTCTGTGTTCTTGGTATCGTAGATTTGTGGATAATTTTTCTACAGTTATGGATCCCCTCCACAAACTCAATGGGAATAACGAACCATTTATCTGGTCTGATGAATGCGAAGAAGCTTTCAACACCATGAAGTTGCGTTTGACGTCTGCACCGGTACTTTCGTGTCCTGATTTCTCCAGGGAATTTTCTCCCTATTGTGATACCTCTACGGTCATCCTAAAGGTGCTATCCTTTCCCAGAAGTTTGATGATAGTGAAAAAGTGATAGCATATGCCAGTACAAGCCTGAAGAAACCTGAGCGTAACTAGGCTACAACTGAATTGGAGTGTCTCTGTTTGCTGTGGGCCATTGAGCAGCTGCGAGGTTATTTAGAGGGATATTCCTTCACCTGCGACAGATCATGCCAGCCTGTTGTGGTTACATGGCCTTAAAGATCCCGTACGTCGCCTTGGCCTCTGGACCGTTCGCCTCCAGCAGTTCAGCTACCGAGTGGTCCATCGGAAGGGCAAAGATCATGAACACCCGAGGCCTTGATCGCCTTTACCCGACTCTGATCCCGTCGCCGTTGACTTGGTTAGTGTTGTTGCTCCCGCCTTTGATTTGTGGTACAACCGGATGATTAGTAGAATCACTGGAGACCCCCAAGTCATACCCTTTGTGGAAAGTTGAAGGAAGCCAGGTCTGGAAGAGAATTTTCAATGGAGTATCTCCTGAGCTGTCTTGGGCCCGCCTTTTTCTAAAGGAATTGCAGTCGAAAGTCTTGATGGAATGTCATGACGCGCCGTTGGCAGGTCACATTGGCCTCTTTAAGACTTGCAATCGAATCAGGAAGTTGTACTGTTGTACTATCGGCCAGGTATGAGAAGATCAATTCAAGAATACGTAGCCCGCTGTGAATTTTGCATAAAATTCAAGCCTAAGAACTCCACACCTATGGGACTCATGGGTTATCAGCGTATGGTAACTGCCCCAATGCAGATCTTGAGTTCTGATTTGATCCATTTCCTTTGTGTGCTGAAGTGCCTTCCTTATCATCCCCAAGCTAACCCCACGGAGCGACAGAACAAAACCCTAAAAACTATCATATCTTCGTATATTGGTAGTCTTCCGACTCATCGGACGTGGGATTACGATTTGAAGAAGTATGTGTCTGCAATGAATTCAGCGGTTGGTGACGTAACTCATCGTTCTCCTAATTACCACATGTTTGGAAGAGACATTCGTCTCGATGGTAGAGAATGGACTGAATCTGCCGACGAACTTAAGGAAAGTGAATGTGAAGATGAAGTGAAGTTCAGGAAGATGTCTGTCATCGCCACCGTCATGCCTATGAAGTACGTGCCCAGAGACATGATCTCAGAAGAAGAGACGGAAGTTTCAACCCTGGAGACATAGTCTACAGGATAACCCATCGTAAGAGCGGTGTTCTTAAGTATTACAATAAGAAGCTTGGTGAGAAGTTTATTGGTCCTTGCAAGGTAGTCGCTAGAGATGGTACCAGAGGTTACGTCATTGAAGATGAGAATCACTCTGAAAAAAAACAGTGCAAAATTTTGTAACATGGAAGGGAAGTTTTTTCAGTAACCAGATTACAAATTTTTGTAACATAATTTGTTACAAAATTTTGTAACATTGGGTTATAAGTATTTGCATCTACATAACAAAATCTTGCATCGTTTAATGTGACAAAATGTTGTACCCTCTGCGCTGCAAAGCTCTATACCAATGTTACAAAATTTTGCGCTCCCCATGGTGCAAAGCATTATACCAATACTGCAAATTTTTGTGATGATTGTTTCGATGTATTGCATCCATGGCACTCCAAAAAATTGTGCAGGTATCGTAAAATTTGTGTCTGGTTTGATATAGAAGTTAAGATTAATGTTATGCACTGCTTTACCATACGACATTAAAGTGAATGTATGTAAAGTTAATGGATAGGTTCAATAAAAGCCAATACTAAGTATTCAATTAATAATTATTAACCTTGATTGCAATCCAGCACAAGAGAAAAATCAAAGTTACAATTCAGATACAAGATAAAGACTAAAGCCTGTAAAGTTTTTGACAGTAACAAAACTGGAATACATTTAAAGTATATCCAAAGGCTAAAGATGAAAATTCATAAAATCAAGTAAATTTCATAGTTAATTTCAATTTTACACAAGCAGTTAAAAATTGAAATTAGATTTAAGAAATTAGTTCAATAAGTTTAAATTTAGTTAAAAATTGCAATAAGATCACATGCATCACAGTAGTATGGCCAGAGCCAATAGTCAAACACATTCAGTTTCAAAATTATTTAGTTAGTGCCTAATGTCCAGTGGCAAGTATAGTGGGTCAATTGATTTGCAAGTCTCTTCACTTTGGAGTCCACCCCATCTCTGTACCGCTTCTTTACAGCCCTCTTGTCACTGTCTGGGGGATTGACTTCAAGGAAATATCTATAAGGAAACCATAGATAGGAATAAAATCTTGTAATAATGGAATACAATCAGTTACAACGAACTCATATAAAACAGAATAATGTACTAACCTTTGGTAGAATTCCAGGGAACTGTGATTTGCTGGTTGATATAAGCAGGTGAAGACAAAGTAAGAAAGAATTAAAATGAGGAATCCCTCCAGAGGGCTAGATGCTGTTATCTTCAATTGACCCACCAACACAACATCACAGGAAGTGAATTCAAAAATTGATTTGCCTGTAAAAGAAAACCAATTAGTACCAAAATAAAGTAAAATGTGGTGAATACAAAAATTTTAACTCCAGATTAAGCTTAAATTACTTCATACTACTGTTTAGGAAACAAAAGATAAAATATAAATTAAAAATATGAACTGATATACATCACCTCTTATGACCAATATGGCGTATCCATTTAGATCGGAGCCAGCAGCAACTACTTCCTCTTCTGAAGCAGTATCCTAATAATGAAAAAAAAAAATGTTATTGTGAAAACATTGGGAACACAGATTTGCATGTGAACAAGTGATGTACTTACAGGAAGAAGGGCAAATAATTTGTCAAGCTTCTCATCAAGGTATAGGGCAATCATCGGAAACATTGACATACATCTCGCTTCTATTGACCTGTTACTCTGGCTCTGGCTCAGTGCTTGTGTGACAAGAGACATCATTGAAGTAATTTTTTGAGGTACAACTTCTTTCTTTGATTCTGTTTCACTATATTGATGGATGAAATCAAAGATAGTTTTCCAATGATTACCAACATTGTTGTTGAACACAGCCTCAACATCTTCACCAAGCAAAGTTTGAGCATGTCTGATAAAATGCGTCTTTCTAAGCAAATAGTGGCCAGCTTCTGATAACGGTTGGGAGATGGATCTTGAGGGGCTTACCGCGGTTTATTTCAAGACGCTGAGTGGCATAGGTTGCAGCCATCAACGTATTGGCTTCTACATCTTCTGGGTTTTCCAACTCAACAGCCTGAAGTCTTTTCTCCTCTTGCGATGATGTCGTCTCTCCAAAAGGTAGTGGCACCTCATAAGCCACACAGCCGTATAGGTCTTGTTTGGATGGGGATGGAGGCAGAAGACCAAAATCTCCATCTTCTTCTTCTTCACTTCTTGAAGAAGAGCGTGAGCCCCTTCTAGTCTTGTTTTCTGGCCCCTTATTGTGGTTTACATAACCATAAATACACTGGGTAAAAGATTTATAGCCAGGGTCAGATACAGCACTCCCGATAACAACTTGAAAAAGTTTAGAGTATGTGCCTCGCCTCCATCATAATCAATAATTTGTTGCGCCAAAGCTCTTGCTGTCACCTTCCTGTAGTCTTTAAGTTTCTTTAACATGTGCCTACCCACTGCATGGCAGGCCTCACGAACAGCTCTCTTCTTAATGGCAAACATATTCTTTGGGGGGTCATTTGAATTCAACCGCTCAAGAGCTTCGTCCAAGAATTCACACACATCTGTGATAGGGAATGCGAGCCTACGCCTGGCAACCGGTGTTGAAGTCTGGCTTTCAGAAGAAGAGGTAAGACTCTCTTCCAAACTATCAGTACGATCTACAACAAATTAAATAAATATTAAACAGAACAAATAGTACTACAACAGTTAAACATTTAACAAGCATGTTAAAGGTGCAAATATTACTAACCTCTATTTGGCTCAGATCCCTGAGGTGTAGAGACATTGGGAGAGTGTGGGCTCCGCAGAGAAACATCTGTCCAATCAGCACTGTCCGTGAGCAGCATGACTTCTAGATGGACCTTGGCTTCTTTAGCTTCCTGAGCCAGCAGTTGAAATATACCATCATCATCAATCATGGTGCCATCGTTTGCTTGATAGACCTACAAGAATTTTTGAAATGATGTTAGGGTTTAAGTAAGAAAATGAATAAGGGCAGTCTCATAATAATAAATATTCAACCTAACCTATTTGTAAGAAAACAGTACAGCAGTACTCACAGTATAATCTCCTTCTGGAAGCTTCAGTTTCCTTTTCATCTCTTCTCTTAATTCCAGCAAATCCCCCGCACAAATAAACACTTTCTGGGAGCGGTCACCGGTTAGTCCCTTCTCAACAAACTTCGCCATGGCTAAAAACAGAAATGTAAAACATGAAACTTCTAGTAAAATGAACATGGTAAACATTACAACTGCCAGGACGTGATAGTTCATCTCTTGCTCTCCTCTAGGGTCATTAAGGTGATGACAAAAGGCCAGGGCAGCAGAGGCCTAGGCTAGGCCAAGGCTAGGCCAAGGCTAGGCCAAGGCTAGGCCAAGGCTAGGCTTCTACTTTACAAGTGTTTCTCACGATTAACATCACGAGAAGTATGATCCTATCACGGCGGCACTTCGAAAATAAATTAAGAGTAAATTCACGATGAAAGGAACAGCTCCAAATGCAATTAACTCTATGTTAACACATGGATTTGCACTAGGTGCGAGGTTAGGAGGCCCATGGTACAGGCGTGAATCCCAACATTTGCATGGAAATTGAAGTGACTTACCTCAAATGCAGTTGCGAGATTAAATCCAGAGAAGTTCAGATGAGCACAGATCACACATTCCGGCACAATGGTAACGGGAATCATTTTACTCGAGTATTTGTACAACCGGCAAAAAGTTCAGACGTCACTTTACCGCTAGCACTACCACACCACACGTCCACCACCACCACACTCCGCACCGCACTCCCCCTCTCTTGAACTCGAATCGCTTACAGCTGATCAGCTGATTGGCGAACACAGAACACTACAATTTTTTTAAAGATGTTTGCGTGTGTAGTTAAGCTTGTTTGCTGTTTCAATGTTTCCCTTAGATGTATTTCCGAAATCGGAGCACTTGATCTTTTTTTGTTGCTGTTTCGGCAGTGGTTGGCACCTTCGGTGTTCATATGTTTGGCTCAAACTATAGGTAACGAGGTTATAAAGGACCATGATGACATTATTAGAACTTAGAAATTGCAATCTTGGTGTGTCTGTCTGGTCCCGTGATCGGCTCGGCTTGGTACCTCACAATTGCTCCAGCTACATAGCGGTATGCATCGTTATGTTCTTTCATGTAGAGCCTGATTCTGTGAAATTGAATGTTGTATGGCCAATCTGAACCACCAGTCAAGCACAATAATTTAAAGTGGTTGTTTTGTGGAGACCCCAGTCAAATTCACCTTCAGGGATGTTCCCCTGACATTTCAGCGCAAGACTGGAGGTGACATGTTTTGGTTTCGGAGAACTGCAACAGGTCCTCTTGAAGTTGCTGTTGTGCTGGGAGTTGGCGGTGAGTGCAAATGTTAAGTTGTGTGGAATGCTTAGTATACTTGTGGGTTTAACCTGAAGTGTGTATTTGCTGATTGAGGTATTTTCCTGATGTAAGTGCTAATAACATTAATATACGAGGTCATCACAGACATCTAGTTGTGATAACGCCAAAAGTTCTGAGGGACAGTTCATTTTACTGTTCATGCGCACACTGGTACAAACACATGCTCCCTGAAAGTTGAATCTTTATTAATATGACCATCTCTTTTTACAGTTACCAAACATGAAGCAAAAGTTAAGGCTAATAACTACTTCAGGAGAATTGGCAGAATTCATGGTTTTGAAGACTCGTTACCAGTTCTAGAGTTTGAATGCACACAAGAAACTCAATGTAAGTTCTTCCTTTAATTTACTTTCTCACTGATATGTTATTGTGATCATTATTTTCACCATTATGCGTTCTTGTTATATTTCAGTTTCTGAAGATTTGTAACTTGGCTTTTATTGACTTTTCTGTATCTAAATGTATATCTCGAAGTATCTATTTAGTTAGTTAGCATGACGCGTCCCAATTGAAGTGATATGACCTTTCAAAAAAGTAAGCTAACTGATGTTTTGTATTTCATTGTTGAATCTGTTCATGAACATTGTCAAGAGAATTTTAATGCTCGATTTGAATGCGAATATATCTTTCCTATGTTTTTAATTGTATGCGGTCTTCCATTCTATAATGTGCCTTTCATGTCCCAATACATCAAGTTAAGTTAGCCACAAGCAACAGACGTATGAAATTTTCAATTTGGCAAAAGCTCCTTGTCTCTCTAATATAACACAAATTTGCAATAGATTCTTCAGAAAATAAGGAATCTTGACATCTGCAAGCGGCAATACTGACAAGATAGACATAGATAAGAACTTAATGATGCACAGCTTTAATGCTAAGAATTAGTTTGATGTTCAGAGTGCAGGTGCCATAAGCATTATAAAGAAGAGCTATTTTAGCAAAATACCTTAACAAATGCACTATTTTTCCTTAAACATGGCTATGGCTTTTCTTAATCTTTTCACGATCTTTAATCAACAATTCCTTGGAATAAACTTATCCCCCAATAATACTAGAGCCCTTGGCTAGAAAATGTTCAATATCTGTCCAATAAGGTGCCAGATTTCATATTGGTTTCTAAGCCAAGTCATTCTGATCACTCATGTGGTTGGGAATAAGCAATAGGCTACAAGGAGTAGATAAAGTTTATAGTAAATCTGATTTTGTATAAGTCAGTAACATTTTCTTCAGAATGTATGTTTATTGACTGATTTTACGATACAGAAGTTCAGTCAGTTTTAGATTTTAAAAGAAACATGCCAGATTACTTGAAACAACCCATTTTCGAGAGAAATGCATATGTAACTAATATGATTTACAAAATAGCAAATAGTTATCTTTCAACTTAAAAACAAATAATTAGTTCACACATTTCACTACTAAAATTCAAAGGTAAAAATATTGATAAATAAATACATGAATAAATACCACAGAAAAGTGGACAGTCCATAACAAATAAAAGATTAAAAATAGGAATGGCACCTATACTAAGGCTGGTCTACAAACAATAGCATGTTTTAACTTAACATAAGAACCCAAGTAAACTTTGTGAGGATAGTATGTCAGCAGCTGGTCTGGTTTCACACAAGTAAAATATTGTGGTGTTCCTACACGGTACAATCTTTTTTTAATATCATAACTCGTCTCCAATTTTTCACAAACAAAATATACAGTGTCTTGCGAACAATCATATAGAATGATGGAAACTCTTCCCAGAGAAAGTTTGCAATCATAACTGTCTTGGTCAAGAACAAGAATATCAGACTTCTTGTATATTGTTCCTTTAATAATAGCAATCTCACACTATTGCAAGTCTGACACATTTGGGCAAACACTACGAATTACATTCTGAATACTTGCAGCATATGTCTGTAGGCAAAGATCCGAAGCACCAAATACTTCAACCAAAGCTCTGAAATCAGCTCCACTCGGGAGGTAGCACTGCAGCAACTCATGCTTCATGGTGAGAGACAGCAAAATATTCTTGAAGTTACGGATGACACGTGCAACTCTCTTAAAAAAAGGTATGCTTGGATTCAAATCGTAACGTCCAAACTTTTATCATTGGCCCAAACATGGCGAACTGCCAGGCATAGTGGGAAAGGTAATGATGCTTAGGTCTTAAATTGACATGAGGAAAGAGTTCCACTCTCATGGTGAGATATTCATCTATGATGGTATGAAGATATGTGAGATGGCTCTCATGAATCACTGGTGAACATGAGATTTCAAAAATTTCTGTCAACAGAATCAATGCTCTGAAAACTTCATTGTCCTCATCTATATGATCAAAAACGATCAAAGGAAATAATCTCAACAATGTCCAAACTTGCCACGCTCCACCCTTGATTCTAACAGAGCCTTCTTGAACAGGGGTCTATCTTTGATGTCTTTAGAACAAAGATACAAAGATCAAAGAACAAAATGGGTCATTAGCAAATGCATACTTAACAATGCGATTTACTTTGTCAATCGAGATGTTTTCAGACTGCAAAGTCTTCATTAACTCACTTCGATAAAACTCTTTGCTCTGAGATTGTATCTTAAATATTTCATCAACTGAAAATTGAACAGTCTTTTCAGGTACAAGGAAATGGAATTCCAACTTCATACAGAACTGAGCAAAACTCTTCATAAGGCAATCATCTTCATCTTCATTTTCATTTTGATCTTCAAACAGGGGATCAGTGTCAGTAACAGTAGATTCTGAGAACAAATCTTCCTCTTCATTACTAAAATTATTCTCAACTGCTCCTGCTTCAACCTCAGGAGTGACAGATGGTTTAGCACGATGTTTTTTAGATAGATGACCAGTGAATGAACCGAGATGGTTATATTCTTTAGAGCATGGATGATGAGGGCACTTGACAAAAACTTTCATGCGTATATGAGTCTTCAAATGTTTCAGCAGTTCAGGAAAACACTCAAACTCCTTTCTGCATGTTAACACAGAACAAAGGTATTCACCAAAATTATTTGGTGCTGGTGTTGAAGCTGAAGGTTGTGAATTCCTGACTTTGAGGTGATGGACACGAAGAGTGTGGAGTCTGAGCAGACGCTCTGTAGATAAAACACTTCGGCAGTCAGGGTAATAGCCACAGTAAAATCTGTGTCTATTAATGTGACGGTGGCGATACTGGTGGCTGAGATGTTCCGTGAAGTTAGTCGTTGAGAACGTACAAAAAAAGCAGCGCAACTGGGCAGCTGTAGAAACCAAACAAAAAATAAATAAATAGGTTATGCAGCATGTGCCTTGCCAATCACAGTTAGCTCAGTCAAGTGTTGTAACGTCAGGAAAATAAATAATTCAATGAACTTACACATGGTAATAGGCACACTGCTGGGCGTCTCTCTCCATGCAGCATAGTTAACATCAACACTGAAACCAAGAAGTAGAAATGACTAACAAAGTTATTAATCGCTGAGCGAAGCTCAGTCCAAGTCAATGAGGGGTCAGGCGATGTCTCCGTCGTGAGTCTGTCTGTCTGTGTTTACGTTCCACTTTTTCTGGAAAACGGCTTGTGCATGGACGGAATGTGAGTTTGACTAAACATCTCTAATTCCGAGGGGTCCCCCACTCTCCAACTGGGTGTACAACGAGTTGCGTGAGTGTCCGCGAGTATTCGAGAGTATTAGCGAGTATTAGCGAGTTTATGCGAGTAAT